CACAATAACCCCCTGTACGCATAGTAACTTCACTGATTTGTTTTCCTGGCAATAACGTTCGTGTTGTTAAATCCACTGTACCACCTCCACAGTCCACAATCATATATGGCTCTAATAATTGTACAATTTAGATTGTTTAAATCGATCAACCTTTATATTGTTATTTCGCGAAAGAAAAAGACAAAAAATTACCGTGATCTCTTAATTGATAATTGTTGACGAAATGTAGACAATATATCGCTGCTGCTTCCGCTACAAATACAATCAAATGTTAGTAATATTCAATTGGAATGAAAGAAACAATCTTAAGAAAAAAGAATTCTTTTTAATTTACGTTCTGTTGTAAACGTTAGATTTTCTGAATGTTGGTTATTTATTAATCCCGCGTCAAAAGCACATTTTCGCATAATGGTTTTTGTGTTTTCAATGAATTCCGCAGGCACAGTCATCACTATTTCAACATCATTGTAGAAATCAAGTCGTGGCCAATTTTGCTCCAATTTTGCTCTGATCGACTAAAAATCAATTAAAAATCAATTTTCAAAGAAAGGAAATCAATGAAAAATAATCACAAGGTAATTACTTTTCCCAGTTCACGAAGATAATCCGTGATTGCTTTCTGATAATTTAACCCGGGCGGTAAAAGTGGCTTTTCATCTTCTGGGATATCGCCTAAATGTAACTTAAACAATTCTACGGGTTTTCTATCCGATACTTGTCCGCCACCTTTTGTTTTCAAAACTGGTCGTTGTGATAATGCTGGATAACCCCAATTCGTGACATTCCAGTTATTGTCGTACTCTAATGCGGTATTAGTCTTGAATTGTCCATAACGTCCAGGCCTAGGAAAGTTTCAGATTTAATAAATTGAGAAATTATTTTATTTATTTGAAAAAATCGCGAATATTTACCATGTAGAATTTGTTTCAATAGTATTAACATTTATTTGTTCATTATTTAAAGGTCGAGGACAAAAAGCGAATCCACCTATTAAGTAGAAAATTATTAAATGTTGATTAAGAATCTTCAATTGAAAATGATCAGTGCTTCTTACTATCCATGCTTACTTTCTGTCGTTCCAAAATCTAATATACAAAAAAGACGCTGAAGATTAGTGATTGTAATTTGTAATAATCATGGAATCGGAATCTCTTTTACCTATGCCAACTACCATCTGAGTTTTCCTTCTATTAATCGATGCCTGTTGTGGCGAATAAGCGGACGCCAAAAGAGGACTATTTGACAAGGTCGATCCACTTGGAACATGCGAATGTTGTCCCATCGAACTATGGTGTTGATGTGGCCACGTTTGAGTCGTATATGAACTCATACTAGGAGGATGATTAGAGGTAGGATGATTAGGAGGAGGATGATTAGGAGGAGGATAATTAGGAGGAGGATGAAGACTTGGAGGCGGATGTGGTGGTGGTGGCATTTGCCCTCCAGGATTTTGCATTTGAGGATGTAATTCGTAGTCTGTTACTATGTAGGTGGGATTACTAGTCATTTGAACTGGTGGAGAAGGAGGGAAAGTATTTGGTGTCGGGTGGTACATATTAGGGTTATTTGGCGGAGGGGTGTAATCTTTGCTATCGCAGCAACCCATTATTAGATAATTTTTTTATTTTTATTGTTATAAATAAACTTTCGTTTCTATTGTATTATATATATTATAAATTATAAAGATGTAGTAAAATCGAAAAACTGAAAAACTGAAACTTCGCATTAAATATTTCTTCTTTGTCTTTTGGATATCGAGACTCCAAAAGCTCTTTTCTACTAATCATTCCAAAAGAAAAGACATACAAAATGAAACTCGTGGTGTAAAGAATAAAAATAGAAATTATTTATATTCTTTGTATTTATGCTTTTGTAGATTCATGCATTGTTTCACGTTAACCAAATACATGTATAACTTGTTCACCATTATCATGTTTCCAAATTTGTCTTTTTATTATTAATTCAAAAATCGGGATCTTCTACGTATAAAAGAAAGTAGGCATAAGCGATGAAAGTGAAAAAACATCAACTTCTAGTCAGAATCAATTCTCGAAGTCCCGCATGTTGTTGGAGTATAAATAAGGAAGGATCCATGCTTTCGTTAATTTACACTTAATAAATAGATTTCAAAAGTTATATTAGAAAGAAGCAATTTTGATTCATCCAAGGTAAGGTATAGAAGCTTGAATTTTAAATTACAGAGAGCAGCGACACAACCATCAAATACGAGATTCTTCAAAGAAAATTTCGAACGCGCTAACAATCTGGCATCGTAATTCGTAAAGTTGTCTTTCTGACATTCAATTAATAAAATATTTATAAAATACAAGATAAATGCGCGTAAATGTCGAAGATGAAATTTTAATTTACGTTATCTAGTAAATGTGAATTCTATTCATTTCAAGCAAAGCTGCTATCTAAGGAAGATTAGCTGATATCGCTGGTCATTATCCGAAGTTCGTTGTCTATCATAGCCACCTAATTTTTGAGTGATACCTATGAGCATTTTGGTTAGGATAGTTTATAAAATACATGTAATTTGATTTGATTGTGATATAATTAACGTCAAGTATTTTGGTATACGTATATGTTTATTTTTTTTTACCTAAATAGTGTATAACGATAATTCTAATTTTTTGTACTATCATTGATAATCTATTTTTTACATTAGTTACATTGATTGTAATACAAAAATGCTTCCTAGTTTTCCATAATTAATTCTCTTCCAATCAAGACACGATTTCTGTTTGCACAATATTAAGATGTACATGTATATACAATGTACAAAAGTTCGGGACATCCGTAAGTAGTTTAACTGTTATCACTATACATGTACATGTACTTAGAAATCTCGCACATAACGAGGTCCCCTACTTCAAATATGCATAATTCTACACAGAACAATGTAGCTGTGCTACACCGGAATCCATTGATTACTCAAAAATGGGTTTTTTGTCGTTGTCGTCTAATCATCATCCCATACACCTATTCAAATTAAACAACACAAATCATAGTAAAATAATAAATAGTAAAAAATGTCAGCAGAAACCACCACAAATCTTCTACCATCACTACCACCTATTTCCTCTTCATCGTATCAAATCTCAACGTCGTTTCTCGATCCAACCGAGACTTCATTTCTCGAGAATGACAGGGAAGATTATCTTGATCAATTAAAACAGCAAGCTGAATCTGATAGGTTACAACACAAGAATTCTCTTTTGAACACAAGAGACACACCATCATCGGATTCTAATGTTATTGCCTCAAGTACTCATAGTACTACTTCGAATAATCAACCACAACCACAACCACAACCAGCACAGGCACCACTGTCGCAGCCTTCGTATGCTCAGCAACTTCAATCCACACCATCGCAGCCTTCATACGTTCAGCAACTTCAATCCACACTGTCGCAGCCTTCATACGCTCAGCAACTTCAATCCAAAACGATCAATAATTCGGTGTTTCGTCGGGACGAATCTCGTCATAATCCAAATCTCAACCGTGACAATACTATTGGTAGTTTCTCTGAAATTAAAGTTGAGAGTGCTAAGAATGCTAACAACACAACAGCGACAACAGCGGCAACAACTCGATTTGCTTTTGATATCCAGGAACTTCAATCCTCTCTGAAACAATTTACAAACATGAAAGCGTCAAACATAAAATTTCATCAAAATCAAGTCAACACATTATTTCTAAAATACAGATGTCGTGGCATACAAGAAAATGGGATCCCACCATTGGTTCTAAGTGGCGCATTACAACGTTTGATCATTGAAACTATATTCGAAGAGACCGCCAAATACATAAATCATGATTCAAGAAGGTCAAAATTACTGTTACCTGCTCCCTCTTCAACTTCCAAAGATAACAGTCATCACAATACTTTAGAGACAGAAATTATTAACACCACAAACAATTTAATTCTTTTGACGACTTTATTATCAGAAAATTTTGAGAAAGCAAACAAATCGGATTCTAATTCAAAGGCACCGGTCACAAATTACACATCAAACAGTCTAGTTCGAAATCTCCCGAATCTTATACGACAACAAACAGCATCAGCATTACGCGAAGCAGCATTCTCTAATGATCAACATTCGTTCTTGCAAAGTACCTCGAAAAAAGTGATAGATACTTTGAATTTGTATCGAGATATCAAAACAGATGCAGTTGTATTAAAGCGGGAAGCTATTGATGTTGTGAAGAAAGTTGTGAGGGTGTTGTGGTTTGGGATCCGGGCACAAGAGAAAGTACCAGAATTAATATTTTTTGAGGCAGGTGATGAGCTGGATGTGGATTTAATGAACGGAGAATTCGATGAGGATGATTTGGATACTGATGAGGTTGATTTTTATTTTTGATTATTATATTATCCGTTAGGCCGTGAAAAGTGATTCATAACCTTTTTTTTCCCCTAAAAGGTCGAAATTTGTTCTTTTCCGTTGATCGCAATAGACCCAACGGACGACGAGAATCGAACTGTCATTGCAAAATCACTAATCAAAAAACGACCAATAAAAACAAATCGAGGTGTTAGTAGACATTCTGTCGCCTCTGAAAGTTATACATCTTCAATAGGAATGTCGAATAAGTATTCGTTTAACTATTCGAATGTTTAGGAGATTTGTTGTATTTACTATTCATTTAATGCATTTCTTTTTAGAAGGGTATCCACCTTTTTTCATGTGAATTTATTATTGTATTTTATTATATTTATTTTTGAGTTCTCCTGTATGATTAGAATTGTCTTTGACAAGAGCTGCCTTTATTCGAACAAACAGCGACTACAAATGATTGCGACTTTCGGTAACGAGAGTACTGCTAATATACAATTATTTTCTAGAAATTGTAAAAGTTCCATGAATGCCTGTCAATTAACATCGTATGAGATCTTGAGGAAAAAATTCAAGACAAAACAATCAAAACATTTTTACTTTGTATATTCACACTCAAAACGAGATTTTATTAAATATTGAAAATTATGGATTAGACGAAACATAAAAAAATGTATTCTATTTATTTTTTACTATTTGAATTACTTCATAATCAAAAAGTTCTGTGTTGTTGAATCAGAGCTCAAAATACCGGGTTCATACGAGAATTTCTTGCAATAACTACGACGTTGAGATCCATGAGAAAATAATCCTAAATCACATCCATCTCCGAAAAGTGGACCACAATTACTATCACATCTTATACATTGACCTCCCGAATGGCTGCTTTTAACTCCGTCAATTGAATTTAAATTATCAAATCGAAAAAGAAAACTTTTGGTCGCAAAGAAATAATTACCAGCTGAATTCCATTCCAAAGAATTATATCCACCGATGATCTTTTCAGAATCTTTCATACGAACAGTAACAACTGTCGGTCCTTTCTTATCGTTATCACATAAATTGTGGAAATCTTTCGCAGTAAAACCATTTCTGCTACCTCTTAAATCCAAGTGTCTCATCTTCTTCACTTTGTTCTTTAATCCACATTTTTATTTTATCAAGTTGATTCTGTGAAAGGATTGTACTATCGACAATACATGTATATGTATTTCGAGCAGGCTGCAATTTCACTTGGTGATTTTCACTTCCAGGCACCAAATAATGATGTAATAAATCTTTGTATAACTTTTTAGCTAATAGTTCCGAGTATGGCATCACTTTGTTGTAGAAATCAACAGAATTGATGTGGAAGAAACGAATTAAGGGCAAGCAATTGGTGAGAGTCGATTGAAGTTGATTGAATTCTTTTAGCGACCATTGCCCAGTGGAATCCTCAAATTAACATCGTCATCAGTAGAAGCTTGAGCTATTCCCCATTCAAGAACTTTTCCCCAAATATCAATTTCACTAAGATTCAAATCATCTCGCTTTAGCAAGGAAACTAGGGCTGTTTCATGAAGCTTTGTGAAGTCATTTGATTGAAACACAGAAGCGGGATTTTTACTTGCAACATCAGTGCAAAATTTCTGGAGTTTAGTAAAAGAGTTGTGCTCAAATGCAACTTAATTAATTGAGACAAAAGTCTGAGTCATGGATTTTGAATGGTGTTCCAAAAGATGGCATTGAACGTATTCAATTAAATCGCCAAGAATCAATTCGTCGGCTGCGACCAATACATCCAACAGAGTTGGCACTTCATGATCGTTCAATTCAATTTTCCCGCTATACATATATCTGCATTATACGTACCATGTATTTTTAGATTATTTATTTATTTTTCGAGCATAAATGAAGCTACCACCTTAATAAGATTTTAATAAACGCGAGCCGAGATATTTGGTTTCTTGAAGACGATCAATTTATTCGGTTCTCGTTTTACCCATGCTACTGCAAAATATTTTGACTGTGCACCAAAACTGCCGAATGAGCTGAGAAGGTAAATTGGGAATTTGCAGTATCGCCAACAATTATCGAGATATCATTGTAACTAGAGCTTTCATAGAATTCCAACATTCGCAATATTGTGACTGTATAGAGATTGGTTCCAATTGGTCAAAAAAATAGTGTGATCACACGAAGGAGGTTTTATTAAGGTGTGGAATTTTTTAAACCAAACTTTTTACCATAGAATAACAGTTGCATAATGAATATTCCTCTATTATTCCTTGAAATACTTGATTGACATCTATTTATCTCTATGTATGTATATAGAAATACTCGAGTAACGAAAAAGACTATTTTACCACTATTCCATAGATTTTTTGACAGACTCCTCGCATAGTGAGAAAAGTGCAATTAGTGAACGTCACCCGAAAAAGTGGTAGCCGGATAGATCAATGAGGTGGCGCAATTTTTTTTAATCTGCGAAAAATACAGGTCTAAATCTAGCTTGAAGCACTAACGCTAATTGAAAATGTCGGGGGAGGCAGTTTTCTATATAAATTTAGCTTTAACACTAACGCTAACCCTAATACGTCAAAATAAAATCGTGTTTCCCGGAAAATATATTCGGCTACCATTTTTCGGGGGTAAATTGCAATTACGTAGAAGTTATAAAGCCTTCTTTTTTGTGCGTTCTGTCTCATCGTTTAATGTTAATGCATGTGGTTGGGCGTACGTAGTACATGTATTCCTGTGTCATTTTTCATGCATAAATCGATACGGGACTTTCGCACATATCGATATCATCGTTTTTTAAATAAAAACACACTGCCATAAATCACTAATAAACTCAAAGATGGCATCCAAAACTCATGATTGTAATAACTGTTTCGATTGTCAAGAACACGAGTACTGCGATGAATGTTCAGTTCACAATACTCATGATTGTGGTAAATGTAATCTTTGTCAACAGAATGACCGCTGCGATAAATGTTCAGGATATCACTATCAATTTTACAAAGCTGAATGGTCTAGCGAAAATAAAGATATCGACAGTCTAATAAATGAATGCGACAGAATTGCTGGTGAAGATAGATTCTTTGAATGGATTCCATTTGAAAGATTTACCAATGTTGAATATTTAGCAAAAGAAAGTTTTGGAACGATTTATAAAGCAACTTGGTTAGACGGACCATTGAAATATGAGTGGGATCATGAAGAAAATAGATTTAAACGACATAAAGAACGCGAAGTTGCGTTAAAATCATTACACAATTCAGAGCAAATTACATCAGAATTTATAAACGAGGTAAACATGAATAATTTCTATAGAGTAAGCAAAATGTTCTCATTTTCTAATCTAAAATAATTTTTTTAAAAATAGATTCAGACTACTCTAAAATGCGCTCATAATTATATTAATTATTATGGAATAACTAAAAACCCAGCTACAACTGAATACTCAATAGTGATGGATTATGCAGAAGGTGGTGATCTCCGCCAGTATTTTAACTCCAACTACGAAAAATTGACATGGCAAACAAAATTAAAATATTTAATTGATATTATCGATGGGCTGCGTACAATTCACGAAGAGAAATTTGTGCATTGTGATCTTCATCCTGGAAATATACTATTATCGGATGGTAATGCTCAAATTGCTGGTTTTGGACTT